CACACACACACACACACACAAACACACACACACACCTATAATAAATAAATAAAACCTTATTTGAAATAAAATATATGGGAGAAGGCAGCAAGATGGCTCAGTGGGTAAAGGTGCTTGCCACCAAGCATGATGACTTGAGTTTGATCTCCAGGACCCACATGATCAAAGGAGATAGCAGACTCCCACAAGTTGTCCTCTGATAGCTGCATGCACACCCCCCACAAAAAGCAAATAAGTAAATACATAAAATGTAATACACATCAATATATACAGAGATACATACATACATATACTTACATATGGGAGGCTGTGTGTAGATTATATATAAATATTATGCCACTTTATCGCTGGGCCTTGAGCATCTGTAGATTCTGGTATCTGTGGAGGTTCCAAAAGCCAGTCATACCCCCACCCACATCAGAATGCCAGGGAATCTAGCTTCACACTGAACAGCACAGTAGCTCCACCTTCAAGTGGGATGATGGGCAGGGTTTATTGGTTGGGGCTGAGCCTGGAGAGCAAGTCCTGCACCCCGAGCAGAGGTCCCTCTGCCACAGCAGCTTTGCTGAGAGGCTCAGATTTCCCCAGTCCCCAAGAAGATCAGGGTAGGAGGCAGGTCTCTAGACAAATAATGCAGGCAGCAGACCCCTAGGCCTGGCCTCCTGCAGTTCACAGCAGTTAGCATTTCATTGCTGTATCTCTTCGCACTGTATCTCCAGCAGGAAGAGAAAGGACCCTACCCGCCCTGTCCACCCCCCTCTGCCCCAAGGGTCTCCCTGGATGCTGTGGGAACTGTAGAAGTTTTCTGGTCATTCCTCTGTATCCAGACAAGACAGCACTGCTCTGAGCCTGGGATGGCTCTACCTGGGCGTGCAGGGAGTCTGGGGTGAGGATCCGGGATGTGATGACAGAGTGAATGGATGACAGTAAAGGCACTACATGGAAACCCACATACTACGTGTCATGCCCTGCTGCATGGCCTGTGGGAAGGTTTGTGAACACCCCAGCCTGATGCTGTTACGCAAGCTCCTGGGATTGGGCCTGCCTGCCCTGGCCTTGTTGTCCCAGTCCTCTGACAGCCAGTGTGCCCATGGAAGAGTCTAGCAAGTGTCAGAAGCAAGAAGAGTTGTTAGAGTTCTTGTGATGGGGAAGCTGGGTCACCAACTAGTCAGCGCCCCCAAGAATGAGGCAGCACCATCATCCATGCTGGACTCTCAAGTATTACTGCCATGCGGGTTGTATGTTTTGGGATGGATGGTGGGTAGGCCTTTGCTCCCTTCCTCCCCCCATCCCTCCTGTGTTCTGTGCTAAGGTTTCCCCCTGGGATCACTGCAAGGGCTTCTGCGTCTCACTGTGGAGGCCACAACCACTGTAGAGCAGCCACCCCCTTTGTTACCCACACTCTGCCCAGAAAAGACTCAAGGGTGTAGCAACTGTTTATGGGGCCAATGAAATATCAAGTTCACGACTTTCAGAGACCCCGAAGGTTTGTTTATATGCCCAGAAGAGCCCGTGGCCTTCCTGGGCCTGAGCTTTTCCATGCCTAGAATAGATAGGTTAGCAACAATGTCCCGTATCAGTTCTGTCCTAGTGTCCTGACTTGGACAGACAGGCTTGTACCCTTCCCTGACGGGTCTGGCTGCATATCTCCTGCCCAGCATCACTGCCTTGGGCCTGTGGTACCTGCCCTGCTGCACCTGCAGTGAGGATGTAGCACGTTTTTCCTGTTACGGATCATCTCTCTCTCTCTCTCTCTCTCTCTCTCTCTCTCTCTCTCTCTCTCTCTCTCTCCTCCTTTTGAGAAGATCTTCCCTTCCTTATACCCATTCCCCTTTCAGCCCTCCCCTCCCCCTTCAGCTCTTCGGCGTGCCAAATTCCCAGAGGCACTGTCCCGCCTCACCGAGCACAGCCCTGAGAATCAATTCTGAACACGATTAGCCCACGAAGCTCACTGGCACCTCTGTCTTGCCATTATTGGCACATCATCAGAATTGAGAAGCAATAGTTGGGAAAGGGGGGAGGTGTGTGAGGCCAGAGTCGGGCTGGAGACTCCGTCAGGGAGTCCAGTGCAAAGGGGATGGGCTTTGAGGTGGGTCTGGGAGCCTGCACTGCAGCTGGGTCTGACTCTGCAGAGTCAGGGTAGCCAGCCGGCTCCAGACTTGTCTCTGAAGGCCTTGTCCCCAAGCGCAGCGGTGGGCCTTGTCTCCACTTGGTTGCTGCTACTGAGGCACCCCACCCACCCACCCATCCACCCTCAGGAATGTGGAGGAGGGCCATTTCTAGTTCTCTTGATGGTCAAGGCCTGTCTAGGAGTCCTGGGAGAGACCTCAACAGGCCCGGTGAGCAGAACCAGGAGCCAGACAATCAGTCAGAAGGCCAGGTAGATAGACAGATGACTGATTTTATGGACATGACTCTCATGAGCAAAGGGACCACTGTGTCCAGACTCTACAGGGCAGGCTGGCAGGAGAGGTGCTCAGGCGAGAGTCCCTGCCCCGGATCTAAGGCCAGGCTGCCTCACGTTTTACCTTCAGCTGATTGAGTCAGGCCCACCCACACCATGGAGTACATCTTCCATGAAGGAAAGCTACCAGAGGTGTCAAACCAGTCACAGATCCTTGATCATGTCAGACTGCATTACTGTATTGCCAAGTAGACACAGAAGCTAACCAACAAATGCCCCACAGCCCCAAGGTCTGACCAGATGAGCCTGGCAGTCATCTGCTGTAACAGAACACCACCCTACTGTGTGTTTTATGGGAAACAGGCCCCCAGCTCTCATGAGGTTTGTGTCAGCCTGTGGAAAGGAAGCTGGGGGTGGCTTGTCACTTTAGCCTGGTGGAGCATGGTCCTTCCATGGAGAGCGCCAAGCCTGGGCAGAGGCCGTCAGGAACACTCTAGGCTGGTGGAAGTTGGTGGCAGCTCAGTAGAGGGCGGAACATTGGGTTGGTGGCAGCTTACTCCAGGGACACAGCAGAGGCCCCAGACAGGTTGGCATACACCAGAACATAGAGGTCTGTGAGGCTCTGGGAGTGGAGAAGGCAAGAGGCTGGGAGTCATGGGCAGATGGGCCTCGAAAGGGATATGGCTCTATCTCTGGAATCTGGATTTAATGGGACTTGTAGGTATTCCAAAGATGCTAAGCAACTTTTTAAAAAAATTTATTTATTATTTTTATTTTATGTGTATGCATGTATTGCCTGCATGTAGATAAGTGCACTCATGTTGTGCAATGCCCGTGGAGGTCAAAAGAAGCTGCTGGCTCCCCTGGGACTGGAGTTACGGACAGTTGTTAGCTGCCATGTGGGTGCTGGGATTTGAACCAGGGTCTTCTGCAAGAACAACCAGTGTTCTTAACCACTGAGCCATCTCTCCAGCCCCGGTGCTAAGCAACTTTTATTCTTTCGTATTTAATTTTATTTTGTCTGTGTGCATGTATGTATGTGTGCATGTAGGCAGAGACCAGAGGTTGAAACTAGGTGTCTTTCTCAGTCACTCTATCTTTTTTGAGATAAGGCCTCTTACAGGGACCTCAGGTCACTGACTAGTTTAGGCTGGCTGGTCAGTGAGCCCCAGGCACCCTCCTGTCTTTGCCTCCCCAGCGCTAGGATTACAGGAACGTGCTACAATGACCAGCTTTTTAAGTGGGTGCTGGGAATCGTCCTCCTGCTTACCTGACAGGCACTTTACCCACTGAGCCATCTCCTCCTTGGACCTACCTTTACTTTTGAAAAGACACAGGATGGGGCATGCAGAACAGACAAGAAACTGAAGAAGGAAATGCAGAGAGGGGACCAGGCAAGTCAGCAGCTGATTGTTCACGTGTGAATGCTCGCTTGCTCTCATGTTGAGGGCCTGCTGCATGTGGGTGTGGCTCCAGGCTCTGCATACACAAGTCTGCCTTGCTACGTTGTCAGGCCGATTGTTAGCAACACCCCTTCCCATCTTCTCTGTCACATTACTCGTGTCTAACCCACAGCCAGCCACTCTAAGGACCATGCAACTACATGGGGGGTCTGTGTGAGTAAGTCTGGACTGCTGTGGCAAAATGTCATAATATTACATGGCACACATTTGCTTCTAGAGACTGGGAACCCAAATCCAAGGTACAGGCAGAACTTACATGAGGGAGAGGGGCAGGCACTTACAAAGACACTCGCTCCACACAATGGTGCCAGCCTCATAGCTAATTACCTCCTAGAGCCCCCCCCCCTCTAAATGTTGGGCATTGAGAATTCATCATGTGGCTCTCAGGGGGACCCAAGCACATACCGCAGCAGGTCCTGTACCCACCCACTGCTGATGCAGCCCAATAGAGCAGGAGGCAGAGAGGCATGATCCAGGTCTCCCCTGAACTTGCCCCCCAATTCAGTGTCTAGCTGAGACAGTCAACAACTAGAGGTACTCACTGTAGGCTGCAAGAGCCAGTTCAGGACAGAGGAGGGGAGCCTATAGCTGGCTGGGAGGGGACGCTGGCAGATTTATATGAGAGGGCAGCCTGGCTAAGCTCCATGGTACCCACCCACCATAGACCCACCATCCCCCTACACATGATGTTTCCACTGGAAATAAACCCAGTGCTCAGAAACAAAAGCCAGTGGTCGGTAACGGTGACACTAAGGATACAGTGAGGCTTTGCTAGCTGGAGAGGAAAATGGGGCTGTCCACTGGTAGTCCTACTTGCCAGCTGACCCCATAGATAGACCCCTAGAGTCTATCATATGTTCTGATGTGACAATTATCACTTTTTTGACTTCCAGAGCCACGTCCCACCTTTTTCTAGTGCTGTGGTTAACAGAAACCTCATTATAACATCCCCCTACCCTAACGTTTCCTCATTCGAAGCATTCAAAAGACACGGTTCCCACAGCACTCCGTCCTGTGATATTTTTAATCGGAAGCACAGGACAGTGTGTGTCTGGTGCATCCCAGGTACTCCGAGGAGGAGAGATTGAAAATTATTTCCTTCTCTTGTTTTTCTTTTCATACGCGGTGTGAAGGCGGAAGTACCAAGGGAAACCCCGCCAGCCTTCCCCGGAGCTGGCCCGTGGGCCCCTTCGGCGGGAACCTGTCCCAGGAGTGGCCCCTTCTGCAAACAGGTGCGTGGCCCTTGTGAATGATGCTTTCTGCTCTATCCCGGATGGTGCTTAGCGGCCAGGAGGAGCCCACAGAGTCCAGTTGGGGGTGATGCAAGGACAGGGGTCCACAGAGGGGAGCCACACTCTGCCCGAAGAGTGTCCTCACTGGCCCCCACCACGTGGCTCCTGACCCTGCAGTGTTGTTCACCTGCCCATTCCCCTCCTCCCCTCCCCTCACTAAAATGCAAATCAGCATGTACATAATAGATAATTAATAGACTGATCAGCCAGCAAGGGAGGTAAGTAGATAAATAATTTTAATTATCCTTGGGTTGCTCATAAATTCCCTCACTGCTTTTTTATTAAAGTCTTTGTTTACAGGAGTCATTTATAATTCCATTTCACTCAGCCAGTCCCTCCCCCTGCCTCCTTGGTGGCTTCCTCCAGGTCTGACCTAGCCTGGAATCACACTCTAGACCACGGCCGCTTACTCCCAGCAGTGTCCAGGTCTCTAGTACAGGTGGTGGAAAGCTTTGCCCAAGTGATCAGCAGAAGGGGAGACGGTCTCAGCTCAGCCCAGGAACTCCCATCCTCACTCCCCACTGTGACCGCAGTCAGTACTTGGGCAGACTGGGAGCCTGGGTTGTATTTGGCCCCTGCACTGTTCCTGTGAGCTCAGTCTTCTCCCCAGGGATGCCCTTGGCCTATGAATAGCCCTGGCTGAGGTTTTCTTGTTGCTCTGAATGCCAGAAGAGAAACTGGGTTAATAAATATAAAGCAAAGTTCCTGTAGAGGACCAGGGCCAAACTCTCCCAGGCTATCTAAGAGGCCAGGCTGGGGTGGGGGGGCAGGCAGGCAGGGTGCCCTGCAAGGCAGGTGGCTCCTCCTCTAGCACTGCAGATGCCCTAGCCCTGGCTGCTGGGTCTGGGAACGCATGGTAGCAAAGGTGTGCTGGGTTTCCATGAACTGGGCGTCAAAGAGGTGCTGGCTCAGGTGGAGTCTTCCTCATCTGGTGGTATACCGGGGAGGGGCATCCTCTCTTGGGAACCTCCTTCCCAGTGTGTTCCCTCCATCCACCTAGCTCATTATGGTCAGTGCCTTCTCATTAACATGCAGGGGGATTGTAGAGGGTTAGCCCTGGAGAAGCCCCAGCAAGGGCTGTCTCTGGCCCTTCTCCCACTCCTGTGGCTGGGGTAGTTGGGCCTGAGTTGCTGAGTTGGGAATACTGGTGAGCAGGGAATGGAGAGACTGGAACTGAGCAGGGGACAGTGAAGTCGTCTCTGAGCTTGGGAATGCCCGGGGCTACCTTGTTTGCAACAGTTCTCACGACCAGCTGAATGTCAGGAGCATGAAATGTGCGCACGTCCAGGGTGTTTCGCTGTGCACAGAGGTGTGAGCTGCCCTGACTGGGTGTTATCTCCTCATGCCTAAGACTGGGTATTATCTCTTTGTGCACATACTCTGGTCTACAGAATATCTTGCATGTGTGTCTTGTTGATTCTCATAGATGCTCTCAGTAGACTCATGACTGGCAGAGCAGAGCTCAAACCTGGGTTGTCTGACCCCAGAGCCTACACACACACACACACACACACACACACACACACACACACACCCGTCGCCCCATGTCAGGACGTGCTCTGTAGAACTAGCAGCTGTGTCTTTACTGGATCTTGCCTAGATCTCACCTGCTGGAAATGAAGTCAGGGTGCGGATGTTGCCGCTTTAATAAAACAGGGTCCTGGCTGAGCTCTTGCAGGGTGGCCCTTGGTAGAATCCAGGTGACCTCCAGCTGCACAGTCACTACCCAGGGCTGGACCCCGGGTTCTGCAGCAGTCTGGCCCTGGATGGTTAGCTGGGCTGCGCACTCTCTGCTGATCATTCTCTCCCCCTTGGAGGGAGGCTGTTTGCCCAGGACAGAGAGAATTTGAGCTGAACAAACAGAAAAGCCTTTTAAGTTTCACTCTGTGGAATTAAAGTCTGAAAAATGGCCCATCGGAGGTTCCCTGCCCTTTCAAGAGTTTGTTTAGCTCAGAGCTTTGCAGCTTGCCCTGGACCCTGCCTGGCCCACACAGACGGAGCGGAAGGAGGAGGCAGGCCAGGCGAAGCGAGAAAGGGCTGATGGGTGGCTTTCGAAAACCTCTTCTCTGTGTTCAGAGGCACGCTGCCTGGCTGCCAAGCCCATCTCCGCCATGTCTGTCCAGACCAAGTCTCTTAAGGGATGCGACCCAAGCTGTTCCTTGGGCAACAGACACAGAGTTCATCTTTAATATTTTTGATTCGTTCTTTGAGAATTTAACGCAGCATATTTTGATCACATTCACCCCAACTCCTCCCACATCCACACCCCTCCCTACCCATCTAACTTTTTGTCCTATTTTTTGTTGCTTTAAACTCATCGAGTTCAATTTGTACTGTCCGTATACTCTTGGGCGTGTGGCCATGCACTCAAGGGTGGTCAATCCGCCAGTGGCTGTACTCTCAAAGAAAACGGACTCTCCCTCTTTCAGCAGCCATCAGTAGCTCTCAATCACTTTTCAACAGCTCCCCAACTAGGGAGAGGACATTGTGTCCATGTCTCCTCTCCTTGCTGGGATTTAGTTTGGCTTGAGCTTGCACAGGTCTTGTGCCTGCTGACACAACTGCTGTGAGCTCGTATGTGCACCTGCTGCGTTATGTCTATAAAACACTGTTCCCCTGTGTTCATCCACCACCTCTGGCTCCTACAATCTTTCCACCCCATCTTCTGCAATGATCCCTGAGCCTTGGGAGGAGAGGATGTGATATAAGTATCTCATTTTGGGTCGAGCACTCTGAAATCTCTTATTCTCTGTACTTTGGGTTGTGGGTCTTGGTGTTAGTCACTATCTACTGCAGATTATAAGAAGCTTCTCTGGTGAGGACTGATAGCTGCACTAATCTATGGGTATAGTGATAAGTCCTTAGGAGTCTATTTAATACCACATCCATTTAGCAGAATAATAGTAATAGGTTTTCCCTTAGGGCCTACAACCTGCCTGACCACAGGGTCTTGGCTCTGATAACAGCACCACATATGGGTTTCACCTTGTAGAGCAGCCCTTAAATCCAATCAGAAAGTGGTTGGTTTCTCCCATGACACTGGTACCACCGAAACCCAAACCAAGGCCCTGCGTGCACTGCTGGGGCGTCTGGTTTTTCTCATTCCTTTGTGGACAGCCTTAGTGTCACCCGTTTCTGGTTTATGGAGCGGGAAGGGTGACAAGGGTAAAGGAATCATAAACCAAAGACAGGCCCAATTGATCCCTGGCTGCCTCGTCCCATAATAGCTAGGAAGACAGAGGTTGTCCAGGTCCCCCACACATGTACACTGATACACACCAACAAGAATCAGCTCCCTCCTTGTGTCCCTGAGCCACCAGGACCAGCATCAGGGAGGGGTTGACAACTGATTGATGAAAAACAGCCAGAGTGATGTGTCATGCCCCGGTGGAGCCACCACTTTCCCCAAACCATCATCAGAGAGCAGGGCCATGTTGGGCCTGGCCCCCATACTCCAGGGCCCAGACAGTGCCAGAAGACAACTGTATAGCCCAACCTGAGGCAAGTAAGGAACTTGACTCTCCAGCAGACAGGGATGGGGGTTGTAATCAGGTTCTGGTCCCAGAACATGGTTCCCACCATAGGGCAACTTACCTGTCTGTCACTGAGTAGCACCAGCACTCCAAAGAATCAGAATAGAATCAAGAGAGGAAGGATCTGCAGGTGTGTGTCTCTTGTCTCCCTCCTTCTGATGACCTTGTACCAGCCTGCCCTGTATCCAGGGGTATGGAAACCTCCAGTAGGATTGCTATTTATTGATTTGTTGATCTATTTTCTTTGGAGACAAGGTCTCATTATATAGCCCAGGCTGGCCTCAAATTCACAGAGATCTGCCTGCCTCTGCCTTTTGAGTGCTGGGGTTAAAGGTATGTGGACCACAACTGGCCTCTTTTTATAATTTTTTAGAGATTTATTTTTACTACTTTTAATTGTGTGTGTGTGTATGTATGTGTGTGTGGCTGTGTGTCTGTGTAGGCCAGAAGAGGCTGTTAGAAACCCAAACCTGACTTGCATTCCTGGAGCTGGAGTTGCAGGCAGTTGTAAGCTGTCTGACATGGGTCCTGGGAACTGAACTTGGGTTCCCTCCAAGAGCAGTAAGTGCTCTTAACCTCTGAGCCATCCCTCCAGCCCCCCAAATGACTATCTTTTAAAATCAAAGTTAGCTATTCGTATCTTTTCATCTGACACAAGAAATAGGGGACACAGACGAGGGATGGGAGCAAAGTGTCACATTCGCTGTCACACCTGCTGTCATGGGCCCTGAAGTGTGACTTGTGCAAGGCAGTTTCTACCCGTTACCGCTCTTTAACAGTACTTCCAGGAACACCTTTCTAGGCTGATGGTCACATCCATTATTCTGTTACCTAGAAGTGCACCTGTAGCCAGGGCTCCTAGGCCTGTTTTCAAGCACTGAGACAGGCATCAACCACTCACCCTGTCTCCAAAATTCTATGCCACATTTTAAGAAACTGGAAGATTCATTTTCCAAGCAGGAATTAGGAGCTAATCATTAACATAAGTGGTCTACAGACATATATTCCAGAGAGATTCCTCGGAAAGTGCATTCGAGCATGCGCAGTGTATGCTCGCTGCTCCCATCTCACTGCAGGGTGAGGAGCTGCTCCTGCTCCTGTCTCCTTACCCCTCCCTTCCCCCACAGAGGTCTTTACCCTGTCCACAAGATGCAGGTGTCGGTGAGTTCAAACATGCACACACGTGCACAAACGTGATCAGACATGCAGGCACAGGCTTATACCTTGGCACATATGCACACGCTCGCCTACATGTATGCACATACTCATACTCCAAGATACACGTGCATACACACATGCCTATGCACATAACCTCATACATGTGCACACACAGGCATGTACATACCCACACCGGCACCTGCACCTAGGGTTTGGAAGCATGTCTCCCAGTCAGCTGAGATGCGGCAT